ACCTGTGTTGACGTCCCACAACCTCACTCCACCATCCCCATCCCCACCCCCGCTAACCACTTTCTTCCCGTCCGGAGACAACGCTATGGTCCACATTTCACTGTCTCCATCCCTCCACTCCTCTCTTATCTGTTTCCCATTTTTCATGTTCCATACCCGCAACGAGCCGTCATTTGAACAAGTCATCATCCGTCCACCCGGCAGATGTATGGCACCGCAGACCAAATTAGTGTGTCCCTCCAATTTCCGGCGGGGTGTAATCACTGATGCCTCCTGATCTGGTGAAGACATCATCAACTACTAGGCGCAACTCCGTCTCAGCTTTCATCCAACAAAGTCTAAAATCATCACTTACAACAATATGGTCATCAGCCGCTCCCGACGAATTGGCACCAAGACACAAAAGGTGTTTAGGTCAGAGGGTTGACTTGGTACATTTTACATGTGTTATCCTCGTGTTTACTCCACAGCTTCTAGCATAGGCTGTGCAATTGAAGCGCCCAAGCCTCATTTCTGATCACGAGGGATGCCATCAGCTACAATCTTCATTCTACAACGGTCTGACCGCATACCCTCTGTGTGTACTGCTACGACCTTGCCCAACACAACTTCACTCCGCTATCCTCGTTAACACCATCTTAATCTGCTTCACCCCACCCAACTGCTACCTGAAGGTGCCATCATCCCATTGATGCTCGCATACGGTGCATAAGACACATATTTCTATATATTTGTACACAGGAAACCACCAGAACTTTCCCAAATCTCATTGATAAGACTCATCGTTTGGTCTTTGTTCACAAACCTCAGCACAAAGTCACCACACGCGAATCTTGCGTCATAGCTTTGTCGCCGGATTATAATCACCCCTCCAGAGCAGCAAAATAGCTAAGGAGATGTTCGCCCTCAGAAGGCGCCGTAGGTTCTAAACAGTCCATTTCACTGAAGGTTGATTCCCAGAGGTCTGGAGGCAACGATACCTCAGTTGGAGGTTGCGATACTCAGGAGTTGCCAGAGTTGTATTACAACAAGGGTGAGTCCTTGGGTGACGTAGAACATCTAATGTTTTACTCATCATTATTAATAGGGATAGTGGTCCAGTCGTCACCCATCCTTTCGATTTCTATGTATCTGAAATAACATCGACGTTGTCAAGGAATACATTGTAAACACTTCGGATCCCCGTTTTATTGACATTCGTCTTTCGACGTCAGCAAACCTGGTGCTGAGGTCGCAGGTGGTCTATGCTCACTGGTATCCTACGACTAGGACAGGAAATCGAGATCCGTTCACGAATTGTGGACACTCAAGGCTGGAACCGCTGCAAACCCATTTTCAGCCAGATCGTCTCTCTGCACGCCGAGAGCAATCACTTGCAATTTGCTGTTCGAGGAGGTCTAATTGATGCTGGGACCAAGATCGACTCCACGCCATACTGAGCGGATCGTCTTGTTGGTCAAGTGTTAGATGTGATTGGAAAACTCCCAAAGGTCTACATCGGTAAGCATCCCCTGTTTCGGTATGCTATCACGTTCTCAAGGGTATTTTGGGTTTGGAATTAGTTTGTTCCTGCATTGTTTATTTGGCGTTCGTACAGAGGACAGACAAAAATCTCGAAACCTATCAAGAACGAACTCCTGCTCGTTAATATTGGTTCAACATCGAGTAATGAGCATAAAAGGCAATCCCACGAAGGTTCAATTGACTTCACCTGCATGTACAGGTCGCCATTTCTGGATGTATGGAGAAGCGTTGGTGGCTTTTAGGTGAGTGTTTTCTCATCTAAAGGTTAGGGACATGTCCAACTAGACCGATTCGCTACCCACATTCTTGCACTTGAACCGGAGCCGATCTACATCTGTATCATTTTTACAGAATCTAAATACATTTTTTCAATTGCACTGTACATCTTATTGGGAAGACTCGTGATGATCACTTCCCCTTATCAGCGATCCCTTGTGACTTGATATGTAAACTTTGACGCATATCAACCTTTCAATGTCAATTTTGGTCTTGGCCAATCAGACTACCTTTAGCTGTTCTAACAGCGAAGCTTTAAACCCGCAAGTATGTGCATGCGTTGTCTCGAACTCCATTTTTGCCCACAGGGCGTCTGTTGCCACCACAATCGTAAATGACAGCCTACACTGTCCGATTACTGAAACTCTACATTGCGCGGATAGTTGACCAGTCAACAATGAGCATTCTCTAGGCTAAATTATTTCTTTCTGTCTTGAACATGATGATGGACTGCGCATCTTCATTTTACTGCATCGTCGATATTAAGAATGACATTCTGTACTGATTTAGAAACGACCTTGCTGTCTGTGTTTTTGCTTTTGGAATCATATGTACTTCGATGATAGGTGATCAAGCACCTCCCGATGCTCTCAAGTACCTTGTAATGCGATTTGAAGGCGAAGGACTCATCAAAAGATCGTTTAAACCTGAAAGTGAATGGTATTTGCGCGGTACAATGGAACATATCAGATGGCAATGTGCGGGTATCTATTATAAGAAACAATGTTGTATGGACAAGATTAACGTCATAGCATTTCAAAGGACGTAGGAGATCATTTCAAAAGACGAGAAAATTAACCAGGTAGATTAATGATGACCGTCGGTATACTCAGAGGAGGCACAACATATAGAGACCCAAAAACGAGTCCAACGCCCAGCGTGTTTGATTATGATATGAGGATTGGTGCTCGGTTCGTTAGCGACAGCGGGAGGTGTGATAGATGTCGTTGAGAGGGCAGCCTGTAGTTGCGGAGATGGCTGAGGCTGAGCCACGCCGCTGGATTGTATGGCGTTGCTATTGGGAGGGTGGGAGGTGCTTGCAACAGGGTTCTTGGATTTCAATGGAATTATTACCATCCGTTTTTCTCGTGCTGATGCGTTCCTCTAGGTGATATAAGTTGGTGCTCGAATATTTGAGAAGAACAAAATGACATACACGTTTGCCCTTAGCAGACGGAACGTCGACGACTACTGAACCACGCTCGTGTAGCTTGATCTCTGCATCATTCGATCTGTCAGAGAAAAGGTTTCGAACCCAGTGAAAGATGCGGGGTCGTGATGGTGTATCACGGAGGTCGAGTCGCGCAGAAGACTGAGAAAATCAAAGTCAGTAAAAACAGTACAACGGTAGATGAGCGACATACATGAGCACGATATCGATGTGGTGTGCAGTCAAAAAATCCTTGGGGTACCCGATTGGAGGCCGTGATTGGCTGACAGACTGGACGTCGTGTAGCATTAGCCTAGAATGGATAAATCTAAATGCAATGAGATCTGCGATGAAAGTGTCACATACGTTGTCACACTGCTCCAACAGAAGTTCTTCGAGGCCAGCTTCCTTTACTATTGCAGAAATATCCCAAGTGTACGCATTTCGGTCGTTGCAGCCAGTGGCTAGTAGCTTTCCATCTGCCGAAAACGACACAGAATGCACCGAATCTGCGTGTTGGAGGGGCGAACTAATGGGCCGGTTGTTGTCGAGGTTCCATAATCGCGCTGTTTGGTCCAAGGATGCACTTGCGAGGATGCGGCCATTCGGAGACATTGCAATGTCAAAAACAGGGTAAGAGTGCCCATTGAGCACTGCGGTCTGTTTCCAGGTTGTTGTACTCCATGTCCTAATCGAGTGATCGGTTGCTCCGGATATATGGGTTTTTCCATCTGGGGTCCAAGCCAGGCACAACACAGATTCTGTGTGTCCTTCAAGAGTAGCAACAAGCTTGCCGGTCTTCGTGTCCCAGATTTTGACTTGGGACTTGTTATCACTGCTATCCCAAGGCTGTTTTCCGCCCGTCGCAAACATAGCCATGTCTGGCGAGTAGACGGCTGCATACATGTATTCGTGTCCAGTCTTGATTGGACCGAGGATTGTCTCTCCCTTCTCTACGTCCCACTCCCTTGCAGTCCCATCATAAGATCCGCTCAAGACTTGCTGACCATCTCGACTCCAGCAGACAGACCACAGTCTCTTCGTATGTCCCAACCATTTCGCAATGACTTTGCCTGTGTCGATGTCCCACAACCTCAATGCACCATCTTCACCCCCGCTAACCACTTTCTTCCCGTCCGGAGACAACGATATTCTCCACACCCCACTTTTTCCGTCCCTCCACTCGTCTCCTATCTGTTCCCCACTCTTCAAGTCCCACACCCGCAGCGAGCCGTCCGCTGAGCAAGTCATCATCCGTTGTCCGCCTGGCAGGTGTATAGCGCCATAGATAACACCGGCGTGTCCCTCAAATTTTTGGCATGGCACTATCATTGATGTCTCCTGTGCCACACTGGCAACCCTGGGTGAAGTCATAATCAACTACCGCGTGCAGCTCGTTTCAGCTTTCATACACACAGTTGACGGTGGTTGCCTACGACGATTATCAGGTCTTGACACTGAGACAGAATGAGCGTTTAGGTCAAGAGCGCACTGGAAGGTTGAGTTCGTACGTTTTACGTGTGTTGTCCTCGTGTTCACTCCACAGCTTACAGCATATCCTGTACAGCTGAAGCGCCCAAGACTCATTTCTGATCATGAAGAATGCTAAAGAGTAACAATCTTCACTTTACAATGGACTGACCCTCTATGTGTTTCGCCACGACCTTACCCTGACGTCACTCCGCTAGCCTTGTTAACATGCACATAACCACCCACTGCGCCTTAAAGGTACCTGACATCTCACCAATGGTCAATACTCATCTTGCGCATGACATGCATCATTCTGGGTCTCAGTACGTGGCAAACCACCTCAAACTTCCAGATCGCTGATGGTTCTTCAGAAGCAGAAAGCTCGGTGCAAAGTCACCTCCACCATCAACTACCGCATGCAGCTTATTTCAGCTTTCACTGTGCACAAATGATCACTTACGATAATTAACAGGTCTTGACTGTCCCGGTCACGATATTCTGATGACCACTATACTCAATGCTCTTCTTCTAATCGCAGGAAACGAGACATGCCCTCGGCCGCAGATATCGGAGCACTCGGCTGCCGTTGAAACCATGAAGTTGGAAAACATCATTATTTTACAGAATACGGTCGACTTCGCCAAAGAAGCCTAGACTCTTGAGCACCAAAAATAATAGCTGCATTCGTCAAAGGTGGGTCCTCCCTGGCATGGCCTATTCAATGATGTACTCATTCTCATACCAGGCATGGTGGTCGAGTTGTCACCCATCGTTCCGATATTCGCGCAGCTGAAATACGATATTAACGCTGTTAACGAATACATTGTAAAATATATACCTTTCCCAGTCTGCGACTTTGCTTCCGATCCCCGTCTCATCATGATCCATTCCTTCGACGTCAACAAGCCTGGTGCCGATGTCATGAGCTCAAAGGTGGTGTTGCCAATGGTTCTATCCTCACAGGCATTCTATGGCCAGGGCAAGAAGTCGAGATTCATCTGGGAATTGTGATGAGAGACACTCAAGGACAGAATTGCTGCAAGCCGATTTTCAGCAAGATCATCTTTCTGCATGCTGAGAATAATCACTTGTAGTTTGGGGTTCCAGGAAGGCTGATTGGTGTTGGGACCAAGATTGATCCTACGCTATGCAGAGCGGATCGTCTTGTTGGTCAAGTGTTGGGTGCGGTCGAGAAGCCCCCAAAGGTCTACACTGGTAAGCATTCTCAGTTTCGGTATGCTAGTGCGCTCTAAAGAGATTCTAGAACTTGAAATCAGTTTCTTCGCCTCTTGCTGGGCGTTCATACAGGGGATAAGAAACACACGAAAGTATCTAAATCGCCAGGAACGAACTTCTGCTCACTAAAATTGGTTCGGCGTCGACTGGTGGACGAGTGTTGAGCGTGAAAGAGGGTCTCGCGAGATTGACTTCACCCACATGTACTGAGGTTGGAGAGAAGGTCGCACTTTCGAGACATATCGAGAAGCATGGGCGGCTTGTAGGCGAGTGTTTCTGTCGACTCAGTAGACTCATTCGCTGAGTTGCCATCAGGTTGGGGAAGTGTATAACGTGGAACGGTATTGGAGTTGGACTGATTCGCTACCCACATTCTTGCATTTAATGTGACCAGAGCCAATCTACATCTGCATTATTTCTGAGGCAAGTAAACGCAAGTAGTTCCATTTCACTAGTACACATATTTGACTTGCGATGGTCATCTTTCCTGATCAGTGAAGCCTTCTTACTGGCAAAGACAAAAACTAGAATCAACCGTGGTAGGCAAAGTATGCAATAAACAACTTTGTCTCCATTGTATGTACTCGAGATATAAGATAGGAAAGATCTTCGTAAAGGACAACAAGATGGACGGGATATATTAACGACGATCATCGATATACTCGGGAGATGCACAACAAAAAAACAGCCAGAAACGAGTCCAGCGTCCAGCATTTTTTACCATTGCATGAGGATTGGTGTGCGAAGTTGTAGCTTGGGAAGTAGCGACAGGGTCAGGTGCAGTGGATGACGTGGAAGTATGTGTTTGCAAAGATGTTTGGGCCTGAGCAGCACCACTAGATTGTTGTGTAGTGTTGCTATTGGAAGGGTGAGGTGCTTGCAGCAGGGGTCTTGGGTTTCAGTGGAATTATTACCATCCGTTTTTCTCGTGCGGACGCGTTCCTCTGCGTGGTGTAAGATGAAGTTTGAATATTGGAAAAGGAGAAGATGACATACGCGTTTGCCCTTGGCATATGGAACATCGACGTCTGCTGAGGGATGCTCATGCAGCTCCATCTCTGCATCACTTGGTTTGTCAGAGAAAAGGCTTCGAACCCAGTGAAAAATGCTGGGTTGTGATGGTATATCATGGGGATCAAGTCGCGCAGAAGACTGAGATCATCAAGGTCAGGAAAAATAGTACAATGTAGATGAGTGACGTACGTGAGCACGATGTGGTGTGCCGTCGAAGAACCCTTGGGGTATCCGATTGGAGACCTTGATTGGCTGACGGACTGGACGTCGTGTAGCGTCAGCCTAGAAGGGATAGGTTTAGATGCAATGATATCTTTGTATGAAAGTGTCACGTACAGCGAGTACCAACTTGTCGCGCTGGTCTAACAGAAGTTCGTCAAGGCCAGCTTCTTTTACTATCACAGAAATGTCCCAAGTGTACGCATTTTTGTCGTCACAGCCAGTGGCTAGTAGTTTTCCATCTGCCAAAAACGACACACGAAGCACGCAGTTTGCGTGTTGGAGGGGCAAACTGATGGGCTGGTTGTTGTCGAGGTTCCATAATCGCGCTGTTTTGTCCGCTGATGCGCTTGCGAGAATGCGGCCATTTGGAGATATTGCAATGTCATAGACATTGTGGGTGTGCCCATCCAGCACTGCGATTTGTTTCCAGGTTGTTGTACTCCATGTCCTAATCGAGTTATCGGCTGACCCGGAGATAAGCATTTTTCCATTTGGGGTCCAAGCCAGGCACACCACCCCATTTGTGTGTCCTTTGAGAGCAGCGACAAGCTCGCCGGTCTTGGTGTCCCAGATTTTGATTGGTGACTTGTCATCTCCAGTGCTATTCGGAGGCTGTTCTCCGCCCGTTGCAAACATGGTCATGTCTGGCGAGTAGACGGCTGCGTACATATATTCGTGTCCAGTCTTGATTGGACCGAGGATTGTCTCTCCCTTCTCTACGTCCCACTCCCTTGTGGTCCCATCGTAAGATCCGCTCAAAACTCGCTGACCATCTTGACTCCAGCAAACAGAATTCGTTCCATCTGTATGCCCCATCCATTTCGCGATGACTTTGCCTGTGTCGAAGTCCCACAACCTCACTCCACCATCCATATTCCCGCTAACCACTTTCTTCCCGTCTGGGGACAACGCTATTCTCAACACTCCCCTTTCTCCGTCCCTCCACTCGTCTCCTATCTGTTTCCCAATCTTCAAGTTCCATACCTGCAGCGAGCCGTCCGTTGAGCAAGTCATCATCCGTTTTCCACCTGGCAGATGTATGGCGCCGGACACCTGACTGGTGTGCCCCTCAAATTTCTGGCATGGCGTTATCATTGATGTATCCTGTGCCACACCAGCAACACTGGGTGAAGTCATAATCAACTACCGCGTACAGCTCGTTTCAGCTTTCATACACAAAGTTCACAATGATCACTCACGACGATTATCAGTTCTTGACACCGAGGTACAATGAGTGTTTAGGTCAAGAGTGCACCGGAAGTTTGAGCTAGTGCGTTTAAAATGTGTTATCCTCGTGTTCAATTCACAGCTTCTAGCGTAGGCTGTGCAACTGAAGCGCCCAAGCCTCATTTCTGATCATGAGTCGCATTCCATCAGTCACAACCTTCAGTCTATGGAGTTACTGCACACCCCCCATATACTCTGCGACGACCTTGTCCAACACAGTTTCACTCCGCTATCCTTGTTAACATGGGCATAACCACCCCATTGTTCCTCAAAGGTATCCGACATCTCACCAATGCTCGATACTCGTGCGGTGCGTAGCATGCATAATTCAGGGTCTCAGCCTCCTCAAATTTCTAAATTGTTGGTAGTCCTTCCAGAACAGAAAGATCAGAACAAAGTCACGCCGTGCGAATCGGGTGGCGTAGCTTTGGTGTGATGGATTGCAATAAATGTTCCAGAGCGGCGAATGAAGGTCGTAGTTTCTACAATCTGGATCACTGAGGGCACAAATGCCCAGTGATCCGGAAACAATAATACCCTCAGTCGGAGAATGCGGTACTCGGAAGCTCTTGAAGTTGACCTTTCAGTTGGATTACAACAGGGGTGGGTCCCGATGAAACATTCAATATTGTTACTCATTCTCGTCTTAGGCGCAGTGGCCCTGTCGTTCTGATATTTGCGCAGCTGAAATACAACACCAACATCATCAACGAAATACATATAGAACGTATGTCTATCCTAGGCCGCGACTTCGCTTTTAATCCCCGTCTTGTTTGTTCCTTTGATGTCAACAAGCCTGGTGCAGAGGGCGGACGCATCAAGGTTGGTGATTCAACATATTCCGCCATCACTGCTGGAGAGTATACGACACAACGATTGAAAGCTACGTATCACGAGAAAAATGTAATTGCTACTTGCTACTAGTATTGGAGCATTTCGGATGCGGCGCATGGGATGTACAAACCTCTTAGCTTGTTCGGAACAATGTGGGGAACTTCTATCCTCTTCCTTCCCGGCCTGCTTCAACAACGATCATGTCTTTAGCAGAGTCGGCGTCCGTCATCGATGGCGCTTTTCAAGACATAGCTGTAATGTCTGTTTGCTGGTCAAGTTCACTTACCAAGCACGACATTTCTGACTTGACTGCAGCGATCTTTCCTGTGCAACGAATTTGGACGAGAACAAGAAGAAAGTCCTTGCATATCAGATACGCGATGCGTGTATGAGTGTGGGGTTTTTCTATGGTAAGTCTTCTGTATATGCATAGAAACAACTCTCCTACGACACTATGGCCACTTTACATTTACTGGCAGTCAAGAACCATGGGATACCAGCAGAATGCGTAGACACTATCCTCGAGGTCAACAAAGAGTACCTCAAGCTTCCAACGGAGGAAAAGCTCAAGGTGTCGATCATGAACTGTCACCCGTGTTCAGAATTGCTAATCGACGGCGTTTTTATACAGCTCAACCACGAGGCCGTCGCCAACTTCAAAGGATACATACCACTACTCGATTCCAATATCGAACCCGGGAATAGAGGCGACCTGCACGAGGGGTTCCAAATTGGCTGGGAGGAGCTCGAGACAAAGGCCCATGATGACAAGCGAGCAAATGCTGGCACCATGTCGGGCGCTAATGTATGGCCTGAGCGTCCCAAAGAGTATAGAGAAGCCATGTTGAAATACTAGTGGGTACTATTCTGCCTTGATGGGTGAACTTTCAACTTATGGCTTCGTTAGCCATGCGGCAGTAGGTGTGGGAAGGATGCTTTTCACACTGTTCGCACTGTCTTTGGATCTGCCAGAGAGATATTTTGACGACAAGGTGCAGTGCCGTTGCAATGAATGTTATGTGATCTTCGGACTTTTGAATATTTTGTAGACGAAGAACTCGGCTGCCACTATGAATGTATTATACTACCCCCCACAAACAGGTCCTGCAGACGATCGTATCGTTGGTATCGGTGCCCACACGGAGTGTGTCATTCGTTGCCAACTTTATTCTGTTACCATATTAATGCCTTATAAACATTTAGCTTTGAGGTGCAATTAAATTGCCCCAGAAATCTACCATGATTCACATTGGTTGTGTTCCAGTGTTTTACGATACTCTGGCAACAACCAGGAATCCAAGCGCTGCAGGTCCTAAATTCTCAGAAGCAGTGGATCGCAGTCCCACCCATCAATGGAACGCTCGTTATTAAGTGATCGGATTTGCTTTTCACTTGGTTCCAATGATTGATTGTCTTGTACAAGCCTGGGCGACCAATTCACCAGGTGGACAAGTACGTTTTTCACACTATGCCCTGACTTCATCTCAGCGTTCGATTTTTAGATGATATTTTCAAGTCTACGGTACACAGGGCTGTCAATAGGAATGGCGTTGATCGATATTCTATTCCCCTATTCTTCGGCACTGATTACGATGTTAACATCGAGGTTCGTGCTTGTTTAGTGGTTGAATACTCGATGATT